GTGAATCCTCGCACCTCAGTGAACAAACCCACATGTTCAGGAGGGATCTGATTGGCTGCTGCTGGTCGTGAGGTCACCCAGACCAGAGCTGATGGAAGCAGAGTCCCTTTGACTAAACCTGTGAACAGCACATCTACAGATGATCTTTCCTCAACAATGGCTCTTGGTGATGTTCTAGTTTTAAAATTCAAAGCCAGACGACTCTCATCAAGTCCATCAAATATAAACACTAGATTGCATTCCTTATATAACTTGGTTTTCTCCAGGTCCTCCAGTTCAGGATAGAATTCCAGCAGAAGCTCGTGGAGACTGAAATCTTTGTTGGTCAGTAAGTTGATCTCTCTGAATGGAAGCAGGAACACACAGTGTATATCCTGATTGGCTTTTCCTTCTGCCCAGTCCAGGATGAACTTGTGCACAGAGACAGTTTTTCCAATGCCAGTGACTCCCTTAGTCAGCACAATCTTCTTCTCACTGTTTTTTCTCCTTAATAGTGTAAATATATCATTGCATTTGATTGGTTTGTCCTGTGTTTGTTTGTTCTTAAAAGCATCATCAATCTTCAGAATCTCATGTTCCTGATTAACTTCCTTCATATCTCCCTCTGTGATGAAGAGGTCTGTGTAAACAACCTGGAGATGTGCTTCATTTTCTTTCTTGCCCTCAAAAATACGTTCTGCTTTCTTCTTCATGTTGGATTTGTGAGTTTCCAAGAACTTTTTCAGAATCAAATCTACTGTTGTAAAAGATGATTAAGTTAATAAAACAGGGAAAAAGCAAAAACAGATTTCATTTTTTTTAAAGAAACATGACAAAGCTTTTGAATCAGCCTGACCTCTTCAGAATTCATTCAACATATTGTAATTAAACTACTTTTGAAAGTAACACCAAATTCTTTAAATATACATAGATGGTGCACATATACAGTATAATACTTGAATAAGAGAAAGTGCAACGCACAATATGGTGGAATAGTCCTGCTTCTGAATAAAAGAGCCAGCTGCTAATTGGTAAAGTCAGCGCATCACTGCAGCTGCACTAAGAAGCTCCGGTTGCTATAGAAACAGTCAGCATCATGAGATGTGCTCTTAGGACCGTGTATGTGCAATGACTGGTCTAGCCTGAAAAATAAGCTTTTTTAACGCTATCTGAGCATAAGAAACACATTTTATGAGACAGTTGTCAGATTTCATTGTTGATTTAAAATTTAGCCATAAGCATGGTGAATATGTAAATATTCCTCATTCAGAGACACAGGAGCTGCACTTGCATGACTGAAATAGCTGAACGAGAGGCATTTCAAAGAAGGCCGTCGAGTGAAATGACTTGACTTAAAGGGAATTTGGTAATACAGTCCTGAGGTTTTCAATTTAATTCACTAAATTTGTCATGTCTCTCAATGGTTGTTGAGGAGGTCAGTCTGGTTAGATCTGGTGATATAGTACATCACCTCTCACATTTCATCTCTGTTCTAATACTAATAATGCTCCCAACCTTGATCTGTCAAACATGAGAGAAAAAGGACAGAAGTAAAAAATATGTGACAAAATATACAGATTCATGAAAGAAAATACTGTATGTCTGTGTAAGAACAATATGACCATAAATAACTGTGAGATTCAGAGGTCTCTCACAGCCCTGCCAGTTATTCTCCTCCTGAGTATATTATAAGTCACCATTCACTTCCGTTATGTTCAGTCACCATAGAGAACATGTGTGAGTGAAGAAATGTCACATAGCCTCCTGTGTATTTTTATAAGAAGTTATTTTTCAAGTGATGTATGTTTATTGTCCTTTCATTCCTACCTGCTGCGTTATTGTTTTTCTTTGTTCAAGGTTATATTCCATATTTGTTATTTCCAACTGCATTAACGAGTAAGAAATTATTCCTTTTATGGTTTTATCTTTGTACGCTCTCTGGGGCGACAACTTTCTAAGCAAAGTATAAAATGTGTAAACGGCTCAATAAAGATTGAAGATTTAGGACATGACTCTGTTTGTGTGACAGTTCTTTACACATCCGCGCAGACCATTGATGACTGAGAAACAATCATTACTGAACTGACGAGGAAGAGAAATCTAATTCTTACATGAACTTTAATAGGAATAGGGTTCACGATCACTCAGCATTATTTCACTGACTGCTAGAAAGCAGTGTGTCTCAGTAAGCACAGTAATAGTGACAGTACCATGTCCTGCAGTGTTGCTGATGAAGGTCACTGGACCTGTGATGGTGTTTCCAGTGAGTACAGGAGCAATTACAGTTCCTCCCGTCTGAGCATTCACATCAACACTGACTCCAGTGTGAGCACTGCTGCTCATCTGGGCTGGAATACAAACAGAGAGATTCATACCATTTCCTAAATGACAACTTTAAAGGAAAAATTGAAATCGCATCATATGACCCCTTTAACATTACTAATATTCTGTTCTTCATTACCTTCCTCGTGTTTCAGCTTTTTTTCTTCCGGCTCATCTAGTGTGGCACAATGCTGCTCACCAGATGCCATCGTCCTTCACTGACTCGCTGCTGTTGGACTGGAAGAAAAAGCTTTTTAACCGTAATGTTATCGCATTGGACTGAAATTTACTTTGTTCACAAAGGGTATAACTATTTCTCAATTCTTTTTATTTTTTTTATCATTTTCGTAATTTTGGGGGAGATTTTTCACCTTGTTACACTTGTGGTGTTCCCGGTCAAAAATGACCCGGCCTAAAAAAATTGCTTATATATCACTCATTGTGCTATATTATCACCAAAGATTGGATTCAATCTTTTTTTCAACTTATTTTCTTTCATTTAGGACTGGTTTTGTATTTGTATTTGCATCTGATTATTCGTAGGCCTCATTTATCTGAGAGTAGGCACCTAATTGTTTGAGTGAAGCATCACGCAGATACATTGTTTTCGTTCAAATCAAAGTGTAAACAACATAGACATCGTGTCCGCGTGACGCTGATGTCAGATGTCAACACCATAAGATTTTCTGTCTGACAGTAGTGACGGGCCAATGACGGAGTTAACATTCAATGTCATCATATTGTTGTGGTTTTCAAGTAATTTTTTATTTTATTAAATATAAAATAGTGTTTAATTTTTCTAATAATGTATAATTACTAAATATCAGGGCTTGAAAACGGAAAAAAAATTAAATCGGTTCACTCCGAGCAGAATCGATATTTTAACGTTTCTGTTCCTGCGTTCCTCTGATATTATTACTGTTCTGAAACCGGTTCGGGTAGAAGAAATATGTTAATAACGTTATTTTTTAAAAACGATTTTCTTTGCCTATAATATGCCTAATAATAATAATAATAATAGTAATAAAGTACAGCGTTTTCTTTACTCAAAAAGAAAAGGAAAAAAGAGAGATCTGGTAATGTTAGCCTATAACCCGCTGCGCTTAGTCACCGCCAATAGGCCTACAGCATCAGCTTTTCTAGATTTTGACCAAATGTAGGCTACTAAACAAAAGAAAAAAAATCTATCAACACTTTAAAGACATTAAAGTATTTTTAAGATATTTAAACATGTTTGCTGCATTGTTGTCAAAACACAACAAGATTGCGTTTTGAGGGTGAAAAAAACATAAGTCGCGGCTCAAGTCGCATTTTATTATCCCTATTACATTCAGAAATAATGAAGGCTAAAATGCCTGTAGGCTAAAGCAAAATGTTTACAAACATTATAAGCACAGTTATTAATTTCTCTCCAAAACAAATCCTCTCAAGTTTAGGCTATAAAAACTTCAATCCAAAAACAAATTAATTTAAGCTGAAACTGATGCCTGCCTCTCTCATTCAGCACGAATCCAAATGTTTCCATATTCGCAATGTATCTGGATGCTAAAATATTATTTATTATATGCTTTGTACTTTCATCGACGTAAAACATCATCCTTCACATCGGATATAACAGCACAGTGAGGCTGTTCTACTGAGCAAATTTTGTTCTACAGAGCAGTGTAACTGTTTATTTGTTTCTTTAACTGTATTTTATTTTGATAATGAACAGGCTGTAATGGCAAAATTATTTGTGTCTGTGTGCGTCCCGGCGCGATGGTCATAACAACGCTGCTTGGTTATACGGAAGCAAGACATTATTCAAAGCTGTCAAGCTTTTGCAAAACAAATAAAACTGTAAAGCTTTTGCAAAATAAAGAAAACTACTCTCTGCTGTCTCGTTTTCCTTTCCGAGAACTTTGGAACGTGTCACAATGAACCGTAACTCAGCACATTTTTTTATTTCGTTTTGTTAATCTGTCAATGACTTAAGTGAAATATATTTTGTGTATATGCCTATATTCCTTTTTATGTAAGCCTATAGTTTTATTCTGTTTTCTTCGTTCACAGAAGCGCTGCAGGTGTGTGTGATCTGTTGAATCCATCTTACACTATCCTCAGATAAACTCCAGTGCATTGCCATTGCGACTTACCTATAATGAGTTCACAGCTGAGCGGGCATTTCACTCGTTGGCTTCAGCGTCACATTTGCATGCCGTACTACTGGAATTCGTGATTGGCTAACAGCAAATTTCAAATATTAAATGGAACGATAAAATAACGTTATTAACCAGTTAATGGCCATTTCAAATTTTCAATTCTGTTCGGAACTATAAACTTTGATTTGGTTTCTGTTCCTGTCAAAATTTCGTTCGTTTCTGGTTTTCGTTCCTTGAACCGGTTCAGAGCCCTGCTAAATATACAGCAGATATTGCTTTTGTGGATTGATAGTCATCACTTCTAGCACAGTTAGGCCTGAGGGAACATAATGCTGAGGGAACACAACACACTAGATAAAACATATCTAAACATGATACAGTTTGTTTGTATTCTGATCATATGTGTTCTGATCATTTTTGGATCATTCGTTAAGATGTTTAAATGTGAATATTAAGATCCTGGTGAATGTAAATGGATAGAGGTAACAACTAATTGTTTTATTTGGTCATTTAACGGTTTACCTTGTTACCATAGCAGATGCACAGCAGACATACTGTTCTGAGAGCTTAAGCTCAGTAGCTTAGTACATGTAAGACACAAAGATGTAGTACATGGTTTTATTTTTTTCAATACTGCACCCTGTCAGGGGCGTAGCCATCATTTCAGAAGTGAGGGGGACAGAAA